ACATGAGAAGACACATGAATACAGATACAACTTAAACAAAGAAACATGGCAAGACACATGAATGCAACTCAAACAAAGAATCTTATTCCCAAGAAAATGTCACGTGGTCTGAAAGTATCAAGCTAAAGAGGTCTATTATTTGCCAAGAGCAGATTAAGTATAAGTGTGAAAAGCGCATGACATAGAGGTGCTGTCCYTTGGACATGACCATGCCATCCAGACTCACCAGAGTTACCATTTGTCTCATGCTGTGTTATTCTCCAGGACATGTACTTCTGATGCTGTTCGTATCATGGCTCTCTTAGCATTCCTYTCGTCTCAACCTGCTGTCAAGATCTCGCTGCTTCAGCTCCTCAAGATAAGGTCAGCATTGCTCACTATTAAATTTCTGCTCATACTTTTCCATCATGACCTAGCTAGTTTCAATGACTCGCTTTTTCTCGTGAGAAATTTAGTCATCTCATTTTTTCCCATCTTCACTTCTTCTCTCCCTCTTTCCCATTTATTTTCACTTTACCTTTACTACCCCTCTCACATACTCGCATTTGCTTCCCTTCCTCCACTTTCCCTTTTACCACATTCTTCATTTTCTTCACCCAATTAAACGTAAGTTTTTTTTTGTTGTCGTTTCTTCTCCTACAGCCGTGCGGGCAAGAATGATGACGTAATGTTTCCCAATCTCCTCCCGTCCATGTTGGCTTTGTTGAGCGCCGAACCAGACGCCTTGATTGTGCCACGTGCCCAGTACTGCATTGTGGTGAGTTTGGACTAAGCATATGTTAACATGCTACACCKATGTCCTGTTCCCTGAGCAATTCATATTGGCTCAGATGGATGGGACTATTCATGTTGAAAAATAGTCCCTTTCACAGTTCCCTGCGCCATCTTGAAAGGTAGCCGTACCTTTGCATCGAAGCGAGAAAGGTCGGTGAGCTTGCAATGATAGAGACATGTGGATAATTGTCCAAGGTGTTAAAAAAAGGTCTCTACCATTGCAAGGTTCACTGCTGTTCTCGCTTCGATGCACTGGCATGATTCACTTTCAAGCTGGCTCAGGAAATTGTGAAGGGGACTATAGGACACTTGCATTATAACGTCATTTACTACCTCTACCAGACTCCCTTGCACACTTTCTTTTGACCATGAAATTAGCACCAATTGTCTTACTGTATTTAAGAGGAAATAAAAATTTGAATAAGAAAGAAAATTTSTGAAGCATTTTGGTAGTCGTAGTAAAATGACGCCATCATGCAAACGACCTATTGCCTCAGCGTGGTTATAAACTAAGCGTGTCTTTCAAAATTCTCTCTCAGAATTCTYTTTATTATTATTATTTCTCAGTCAATTATCCAGTCCTTATGCGATCCAAGTGTTAGTTTAACATCCTTCGTAACGCCCTACACCAACCAACACGTAAGTAGTACAATATCCGAATAGGAAACGTGGACTCAGCGCTTTCACATCAATCGCCGAGGTCACCACGGGAGAGTTAGCGAGTGCAACCTAGCGCAAGTGTATCCAAAACCATACCAGGATCAATCTTACTKAATGGAATGGCAGGGATTCAGTGCGTTGCGCAAATCCCCCAAAATATCAACCAAGTATCGGCTAACATCTCCTTTTCTTAAAATTCTCCTTTCAGTAAAGAAATATCGAGAAACACAAAGAAATTCGCGCAGGAGTTATTACGRAAAAATAAATATCGTGCAACATAAATTCCTGCACCCCTCCCYCCTCAATTATATTATGGTCCATCCCTTAGTGCTTTACGCTACATGCTGAGTTAGATATCGTCTTGTTTCAGCTGTCCAATACATTACCAGACAGTGAAATGCTGTCAGTCATTTGTACAGCATTACTAGATCACGTGGGTTCARTCCACCAAGCCTTTGCTACCATCTTACTGGCCTTGAGGTCAATGGTCACCCTGACTGAACACAACTATGGTGTATATCATCTCAAAAGGTACTCATCCATGTGGGATACAATCTTATAATAAAACGCTCAATTTTCTTATGCTGGGTGAGCGGACCTCTTTCGTTGTCTTTTATTTTAGGGGGTGGGGGTTGTCGGGGCCGAGTTACAAATATATCAGGCATCTGAATCCAGGATAAATCTTACTAATGACGAACAAAAGTTATTTGAAGGTGCCAAATGGAAAGTAAGATTTAATTTTTGGTCAAAATAAAACCAGGACTTAGTTTTTCTATTTTGAGTCCTGAGGACTGAGAAGTAAATATGGGAGGGGGAGGTAAGAATGAGAAGAAGTAATTCTTTCCCTTTCTTCTCTGTTCGACACTCGCTTAACTCCTCGCGCATTCCTTCAGCTACTGTGTTACCTAATGAAGTATTAACTTGCATAAGAGAGGAAAAGGAAGATTAGCGCATTTTCCCTTCCATTTCTAATAGTCACTCTTCTAACTCGTCACGAACATTATTCACTACCGTGTAACGCAATACGATATCAGCTTGCACGCAGGGTGACGCGTGATAAACATTGATGAGCTGTGTCACTTTCTTTCTTCAGCACTTTAGAAAAGAACAAAGAAGTGTTCCATCGGCTTTTGAAACGCCTCTCCTCATCTTTCGAGTAAGTGATATAATTCCCCATTAATAAAATTAATACATTTTGATAATCCTTAATAATATCTCTATACCTGGGTCAACTGTTCACTCTGTCTACAAACACTAATACCCCATTAACAAAATTAATATATTTTGATAATCCTAATAATAATAATAATAATATCTATATATTTACAGGACTGGGAAACCTAGACTAGACTGGTCAATGTATACACTTATTTCAATAAAGTTAGTCACCTGAAAAGCTACAAAGCTGAGACCGGCAAGGATTATGGGTAGATACATTATACATGTTTCAAGCGCTTGATAACTGTTGATGGACTTGAGATCTTCTACCAGTTACAAGTTAACCTCCTCTGAGCATCCTCAACTGCTGCAGTTTATGTCAAAACATTTACTTGTTGGAWATAAAATGTTTCCCATGATTCTCAGCGATCACAGCTTTCTAGGTTTTTGGTGACTAACTTTATTGAAATGAGTATATACAACCTCTAATATCCCATTAACAAAATCAATAAATGATAATCCTTAATAAAATCTCTATATTTACAGGACTGGTATACCTAGAAAAGACAATCCACTAAACATTCAACCTCCAATATTCCATCAATAAAATCAATAAATTTTGATAATCCTTAATAATATCTCTATATTTACAGGACTGGTATACCTGGACCACACTCTATAAACAAGCTCTAACATCCCATTAATAGAAATAAATAATATTTTAATAATCTTTAATAATATCTCTGTATTTACAGGACTGGTATACCTGGACCAGACAGCTTATCCACTCTGTCTACAACCACTGAGTTACTCCAGCTACTGATGCCAGAGGAAGCTACCAACATAGCAGTGGCCCAGGAGTCTGCCCCACCCATTGCCGACGTCACTGAGACACAAGAAACAAAACYGGTTACTCCTACTGAAACCGAGGACACAGAAGCGGAGAGTACCGAAGATTTGACCAATGAGAGTATCAAACCAGRCCCGGATAAACCAGTTAAACAAGAAATCGACCCAGAATGCGTGACACAAGGATTCCCGAGCGTCACGCTCAAGGGGGAACTTTTTGGGGTGTTTGATGTAGAGGAGTTAAAACCAACGTCTGAGATATCGGTGTCCGTGGCTCAAATGAAAACCTTTTTGAAAGCAGACAACGAGGAGGAGTTTACGCTTAAAGTGTTGGAGAAGAGACTAGAGGTAAGAGGACGTGAATAACCTTGATAG